GGGGAGGGGTTCGGCCTGGCCAGGGGACACCCAGCCCTTGGGTGGGGGGCTCTGGGTGCGGGACCTGCCAGCCGTGGGAGCAGCCCCGGGGCCGGGTGGGGTGTCCTGGGTTGTGCCCCTCAGGAAGGGTAAAAAAACGGGGGGACGAGAAGGGATTTAAACCAGCCCCATCTCAGGAGGGTTTGGGACTCGACCCAAAACATCTGCCCCTCGCTGCTGTTTCTTGGTTTGTTCAGCAAGTGGTTCTCTGCTGTTAACGATGAAGATTTAAGATCCCAAGTGTGGTCTCTGCATGGACAGCGTGCTGAGGAGAAGGCACTTTCTTAGTGCCCCGTTAATTTTGAGGCTTCTGGTGTGCCTGGCTTTCAGGACTTTTCCTGCCCTGATGATGTCGGGGGAATGAAATGAGCACGCAGACGTATTACCGGAGTTAACCCGGGCAGTGTTTCTGCACAGATGCTCAGAGGGTGCGATGCAGCGTTTGTGCTGCTGCATCCCGCTCCGCTGCAGCGATGGGTTCCCCTCGGAGCCTGCCGGTGCTGGAGGAAAGCACCCAGTGTCGCTTTGGCTCGGCAGCACGGAGCATTCTGGCTTGCAGGGCCGTGGAGCTTTGAGCTGGTCCTGGGAGCCCAGCAGCTCGGTTTGTCACGTCTTTGTGGCACCAGAGGGACTGTCCCGGGGTGGAGTGAGCAGAGTTCCTCCTGGCTCAGCTGGGAGATTGCTAAATCTGTTCTGCCCAGGATCTCAACATAGTGGGAGGCAATAAGAAAAGGGGATTTTTGTGGTGTGCTGAGCTCCAGTGTTCCTGAACCTGAGCTCCTGGGCAGAACGAGGCTCTGAACCTCTTTTCTCCCCCGCAGAGCACCTTGAGTGATGCCCAAGAAGTTCCAAGGTGAAAACACCAAGTCGGCTGCTGCCCGCGCGAGGAAAGCTGAGGCAAAGGCAGCAGCCGATGCCAAACGCCAGCAGGAGCTGGAGGATGCCTACTGGAAGGATGAAGACAAACACGTGATGAGGAAGGAGCAGAGGAAGGTGAATGGCTGGGCAGGCGGAAGGCTAGCTAAGGCCGCGAGATCCAGGCTTGCTCAGGAAGGGTTGCTGCTCTTCCTCTGTCCCCCAGCTCTCCACGCGTTGTCCTGTGCTTAGTTTTGGACAGAAGAGCTGGAACTAGCGGCTTCTCCGGGAGCTAAAAGAAGCCGAGTGTGGGAGGAAGCGTAAGCTTTGATGTGTAATTCAGAAATCTGGTGGATCTTGGAGCTGACGTCCCGAGGGAGGCAGTAAAAGCTTTCTTGTCAGAATCATTTAAAACTGAATTAAGGGAAAGATCAGGAACTCTGCTGCAGGGCTTGATTTTTGACCAAGCGGTTCTTTAGCTTTTCTTCTTTCTTAACTTCTCTTTGATTTTTGTAGAAGGAAAAAGAAATCAGCAGGGTTATGGGCTAGAAAGGTTGTTTCTCCTCCCCAACTTGGTGTGCCCTGCATCAGGATGTCTCACAAAAGGTTCTTTCCAGTTTGCTTTTACCGGCTTGTTCCGCCCTGGGTGCCCGTTTGCCTCGGTGCTCGATAACCAGAGCACTTCTCTGCTCGTTCCTGGGTTGTTTGGGGTTTAACATTGCTCTGCAGCAGCCTTGGACAAATCTGCCTGCTGCTTTTGTGGATTTTTCTAGAAACAATCCTTGGTGATAACTTTTTCTTTACCCTTGGGCTTCTCGTGACGATGTAACTGGGATTGATGGGGTTACTGCCTTTGTGCTGCTCTGTGAATTCGCTGACCTCGGCGTGTGGGTCCTCCAGCATGCTGGCCGGGCGGGCAGGACGCCAGCGCGTCTCCGTGACCTTGCTGGCTGCGTGCTGCGTACATCTGCGTGAGTTCACCCCTAGTGCGTGTCCTGACGGTTGGAATGTGGAGTCCTCTGTGCTGCTCGCCCCGAGCAATCCCATAATGCTGCCTAATTACTTCCTGGAACCAGGATTTATTAGTGCTCTACTTAAGATTTTGCCAACAGTGACCTATTTGTCTGGGCTTCCAAAACAACCTCCTGCAGGTGGGGGGCATGGGAGGCTGGAGAGGGGAGCCGGGTCGTGGGCTGGAATCGCTCACTGGAAACCCAGGGAGCATCCCAGAGCCTCAGACTGGGTTTCAGAGAAACCAGTGAGGCCGTTTCCACTCAGCACCAGAGCCAGCCCCTCCGCTGCAGCAGCGCAGCCTGTTCTCTGGGTCTGAATTTCACCTGGATGCTGTGTGTTGGTGCGTTTGCTTCCCACGAGCACCCCCTCGGAGACCTCGCAGCTCACAGCAGCAAAAGTCTCTGCTCAGAGGAGGAGCTGTCCTGCCAGAAAAGCTCGAGTGTAACACGGGGCTTCTTCCTGCTGCGGGAGCCTCACGCAGGCACTGCTGCCACCTAAGCGAAGGCTGGGGCTTCGTGTCGGTGAGCAAATGGCCAACAGACAGGAAGGAGTGGGTTCCTGAGGGAAAATAAATCAGTGAAACCTTCTTCAGCTGCTTCTCCAGTGCCATCAGGCTGGAATATCCCCACGGAGAGCAGAAGGAGCTGCCTGTGCGCTGTCGCATCCCAGCAGGGAAGGGATGTGTGACTCAGATTGTAAATGACTTTCCAGCCTCATCCTGGAGAGGACAGAAACCAAACTGTTCGCAGGAGTCAAACTTCCCCGGAGAAGTGGCTGTTCCGCGGGTGGTGCTGGCGTGGAAACGGCGCTGCTGGCCCGGCCATATGCTGCGGGAGGGGCTGTGCCGCTCTCAGCTACAGCACCCAGAGGAGGGGATGGCGGGTGTGTGGGAGGATGCTCTCAGCACCTCGCAGTCAGTGCTGAGCAGCTCTTCCCGGCTCTTCCCGGGCGATGGCAGTACCACATTAGCAGCACCGCAGCACGCTCTGCATCCCTGCCCCGCCAGCAGGCAGGAGGGGCTGGAAGCCTTTGGGATGTGCTGAGATCAAACCCCCTGCACCCCTTTTAATCCCTTTTTCCCCCACGGGAACCCCAGTGAAATGGGTGAGAGCAGCCTTTGGAGCCCATGGCTGCTAAGAGAGGGTGACACTCGTTTGGTGGCTCCGTGATGCACAAAGGAACAGCTGAGCTGATGCCACCACCGTGTGCTGTGTGTGTTCCTCCTCTGGCGCTTCCGCACAAGTCACAGATTGTTGCCTTCCCTGGGGAGCTCTGGCTGGAAAGCTCAGGATCTGCATCCCTCTTGCTGGAAGACTCGGCATTTTCCCTGGGCAGCTGCTGTTCTTTTAACCTTTGGGTGTTTTCATCCTCTCTGTCTCTTCTCGCTCTTCCTGTGCAGGGTTAGACGGCTGCTCGGAGCCCGGCGCTCCTCATCAGCCTGGTTTCTCTCTCTGCAATTAGCTAAAGTGCATCTGCAGCCGCGTGTGCGTCCTGGGTGAAGCTGCGGACAAGCTTGGAAGGGTGACAGACTGTTCAGTCGGGGAAGCGTTACGGGAAGAAAGGAGCAGTGGGGACGCACAGGAGGATCTCGTTGGGTGGCACTGCCGCTGGAAGGACGCAGCCGAACTCCCAGTCTCCTTCCCAAGCTCCTGCCGGGCTGCCTGGCACCCTTCTCCCCTCCAGGCTGTGTGTTGCCTGGGCTCTGTTTGCCGAGTGCCTCCATGCCAGCAGAGCAGTTCCTCCTCGTTCTCAGAACCCCTTTCTCTCTGCCTGGTGTCGGCAGTGCCGTCCCACTGAGGTCTCTCCCATCCCTTCGCTCGGTGGGAATGGGGAAGGGAGAGCGTGCAGATGACGTGGGAGCGAGAAGAGGTTTTGCACTTGCGTACGCAGGGTCTGGGGAAAGATGCAGGTTAAACGCGGGTGAGTACTGGTGCTGGCAGAGCGCAGATGGCGCACGAGGGAGCGGTGACTCCTTCGGTGCGAGGTTTGTGCCGTTCTCGCTCCTGTTAGCCTCGGTCACGGGGCTGGCAGGCGTGTGTGCCGACAGGTCCCAGCTGCACCGGTGTCTCAGGCAGGTGAGCAGTGACTTTCTCTGCTCCAGCTCTGTTTCAGTGCAGAATTACCCAGCTGTGAGCCCGGCTCTTATTCAGATAAAACGTGAGACGGGTCCAATAACTGCTCTGTCCTCTTTGGAGGACGTCTGCACGGTGCCATGTATGCGATGCTGAAACCTGACGGCTTGAAGGAGCCGTGCAGGAGACAGAGATGGAGTGAACAGACACCTGACGACACCCAGCTGGGGTTCAGCCGCCAGAACCAACTTCCCCGGGCTCCAGTGTCCCTTTGCTGGTCACTTTGATGGCCTGTGGGCGATGGAGGGGGTGTTTGATCCCATCTCAAAGCTCTGGTGAACCTCAGGTAGCCCAGCGAGCACTTAGACACGCTCCAGGTCGGTTTTGCCCCGCTCTCTTTCCAACTGTGTCATTTTTTTTATTACTTTTTGCATTGCTTTGCCCTCTGGCATGCTTCGCCAGGCTGGTGGGAGGTTGATCGGGAGCGCTGCTGCTGCCATCGACCGCTCGCTCTCCTCCAGCCTGGCAGGTGGGAAGCTCTTCTGAAAGCTAATGAATTGTTCCCTGTTCAGGCGGCTCTCTACAAGGCTGGAAACTTGCATTTTAAGACACAAATCCTGGGGAACAGAAGGGTCCAAAGAAAGAAATCTCACCCCCGGATCCTCCCAGAGCCCTGTGGAGTGCTGCAGTGTTGAGGAAGAAAAGAATTAATTTCCTTTCCAGTTTTCTAACAGCCCTGTGGTACATTGCAAGTAGGCAAATCCAAGCCTCCCTTTCATCGGGACATTTAAGCTGATTCATAAAAAAATAGTTTGGTTTGGCCCAACCTGAGCAAAACGTTATAAAATGATGGCTTCAGGCCCCTTGGGCTTCGGGATGTGGCTCCGAGCTGCTGCTGTGAGCCCCCAAAAGGTGCAGAGCAGACCTGACGTGACGGGCCGCTGGGGAAACCTGAGCGTGTCGACTTTTGCAAGTCTTGTGACAAATTAGTAACAGTGCCAGCTTATTTATTTTCCACAAATAGAAACTCAATTGTGAATGCCAGAGAGCGGAGAGGCGCTTGCCCCGGCAGCTGGGAGAGGAGTCGCGGGCGGTCCCCAGCAGCACGCCGCGCGGGAGGAAGGCTCCGCGCCCTGCCTGCGCCTCAGTTTCCCCTTCGCCAGGTGGACGTGTCCTCTCTGGAGAGTTGTGTTTGAAAGGAGCTAACGGCAGCAGAGCGTTATCCTTGAATTTCTGCTCCGTCAGATGTGTCGTGGTGTCGGACAGGCTGCTGAGCTGGCTGCCGTGGAGGACAGTCCCCTCTCGGTGATGAGCAGGAGTAAAAGATAATCTTCTCTAACTGTAAATACTATTTCTGTTCCGAAACTTCGGTTGGTAGTACTGGCGTATCCACTCCTTATTTGTCTCTGGAATTATTCAGGGCACAGCCATGCCACAGCCTTGCCGAGGTGCTCGGTGCCGGCACCTGTGGGTTCCCTGTCGGGGTTCAGTCACCCCCGAGCTTTCTGGGGACAGTTTCTCTGCGCTCGCCTGTGTTCCAGGCACTGTCCCTGTATCCCGAGCACACGGTGCTGCTTCTCTTGCTCGTGCTTTACATCTGATTCAATGGCTTTGCTCTCTCTGACAGCTGGCCCTGCAGTGGTGGCTGTGGCCCTCCTCCTGCTTGGCACATCAGTCTCTCCGGTTTTGGGGTTTATCCTGCATTCCTCCTTACAACTGGCCAGTGCCCGGGCTGGTGGCAGAGCTGGCAATGCTGCCTGGAGCTGGCGATGCCACCTGGAGCTGGAGCTGTCCTGTGCCGAGGACGGGCACAGCCCCTGCAGCTGCTCTTGCTCAGCTCTATCCCTGTGAATCAGTTTTTAGGGGGTAAGCCAGCCTTTCCCCTGCTCTCGTGACACCGTTCCCCTTCTAGGAGCGGCCAAAGCCCCTCCTCATCTGGGAGACCCGGGACGTGTGTTTACTCCACGTTTACCAGACGAGGGAGAGGCCTGGGAGGGACGCAGCGGCGGGGAATGCCG